GCTGCATCTCATTGGGTGCTGCAATGGAAATCTTTTGGCGCATAGTTTGCCATCAATTGGGCTAGGCTCGAAATTGCACACTGTGAGCTTTTGGTGTCAAGCATAAGCACAAAGTGTCTTTCTCGTACCTTCGATAATTTCAATTTGCGTACTAATTGTAGCAATCGTGAAGGGGCTAGGATGTGAACTTAAATCGTTGTCTTGCAGAACGTTGAATTGGGTTTGATGTGCTGCTTTGTCCAATTGGAAGGAGTTGACTTGGAGCTGGCCTCTACGCATAATCCACTGTTTCCTATTAACAACGCGAGCACAGTAGCACTGGCTTTACGCCTGAGTTATAATCAATTATTAAAATTTGGTTTGCCTGAATCTTTGTCAAGATTGCTCCCGTGTGCAAGTTAGAAAAATATTGCTCCTCACGCGAACGCATTTACCCTTAAAAGAGCCATTTATCGTTTTCCCAAATTATGGCTCATTGCCTTGAAAACCTTTCAGTTATGCCTGTCAAATTCCTTCAAATTTGCCTTCAAGTTTTGATGCAGTGATCATTTTCGGGTATCTTCAGTTCTGTTTAAATGGTGGCCAGGTTTAAGGAAGACAAATTTTACCCAAATATTTGATGACGTAAGGGGTCAGGCAGGAAAATCCGTTCATTCTTAAGTCACAAATTGCGCCTACAATGTCTAGTGATTTCGTCTTGCGCTTTGCCTGTCTCCCATACAACGAATTTATGTGCCCCTTCACACAGTGGACAACAAAGTTGAGTTTCAGCTGCATGTTTGTGGGGCATTGAAATACTGATAAAATTCTCTTCTGCGAATACGTATCTGTGGGTTGGGATGCTGATCCTAATGACTAGAAACAGTGCATGTCGTGTTGGTTACTGCCTCATTTTGATGACTGACATCAAGAAAATTAGCACAGTCTGTACGGAAAACAACTTTGCTTGACAAAGTAACACGAATGAGAATGAGCAATGAAGTTATTTCCTGGTTTCGTTAATCAGAGCTTAAGCCAACGATTGCATCGTTAATGCGTTTTTTGGCAGTGGATTCTTGGTAGTGCATCAAAATGAGTTAAGCAATCATTACGCGAACAACATGGGACATAACTGCTGCTGGTTTTTGGTACAAATTTTGTTGCAATCTGCGTCCCACCTCGGTTCTGCAGATATATAAGCAAATTAATTGCAAATAAAAATGCAGTGAACACTCAACTCAATCTATGGAATATTCTTTGCCGTTTCCTGTGACTTTGCGCCATCACTTAAGTAGCGTAGGAATGTCGTCACAAAAGACACTTGCAGGCTTCGAGACAGTTAAGTCATCTACGAATTTACCGATATCGTCGAGCATTTTGAACAGTTTATCCACTATGGCGTTGTGCTGCACTGATCGGAACAGACCGTAGTCTGATGTAAACAAGTCCCGTAAATATGCCACGTGGGGAAGAACTACCCAAACTAGTTCCGAGAGGGTCTTCTAAGTCGCGGAATCAACGTGTGGGTCGATCGTTGGGATGCAGCAGTGGTGTGATTTGCCTAATTCCCTGCCCAGTGTATGGTCTCGTCTGATCAAGTTCTTTTTTAAGTTTTTTTTTCAATTGACGACTGTAGTGTTGAGCAGTCACCATCTAACCATTTTCCAGGAGTTCGTAATTAGGTACATCCTTCAGCTTCCACCAGTTACACAGGATAACATTTTGTAAGTGAATGGCCTGTTTCGGCATCGATGTACAGCTGGCTTGCATAAGACCTACCAATAAACCTTTACGTTTGGAATTTGGCAAAAAATATACCCTCCATCACTCGTCACAATCTTCTACAGTAAATCCTTTTTTGCATTCATGCGTTAGCGTAGGTTGCTTCTATCAGCACATGCAAAACCAAAAATCCAAGTTTTCAACTTTTCCCGTTTGGTGCAACTGCGTTTAAATAGCTGTACGCCTGAGTACTGCCTGTGCTGAAATCTCTTGGTGCGTGCGCATTGAGTCCTCATCCTTTAAACTTACAATTCCTCAACGTCAAATTTTCGAGTTTGTGTGTGACGCAGCTGGTCACTAAGATTCAAATCAACACTTCTCTACTTTTCGTACACCAATAATTGCGCGTTACATGAGGCACAACGTCGGCACCACGAACACCACAATTTGATTTTCCCCGTGATTTAGAATCATCTTTACCGTGTTGAAATTCGTGTACAATGCCGCGCCAACGCATGTGCAGTTTATCAGTTGCCATCATACACACTGCAATTCTGTAAGGGTTATGTAGCACACGTTGACTTATTGTTCGGTGTCCGATCATTTAAATAATCCACGAAAGACCACTAAAATATTTCGACCGGAAATATGACTCTAAACTCCAAGAAAAAGGCAACAAATATGAGCACACACATAAAATATCACAAAACGTGTTGTTAAATGCCTGATGGATAATTTGAGCGGAAGCCGAAGGGTTATTTCGTCTTTTCAAGTCGTTTGTTATGTTGTTCTAGGGTCAATATCACACAAATAGAAACGGCAAAAACATGATTACTTAGAAGCAACAATCTCATTCTTCGCAGCTGATCTTGACGTTAAAGTAAAAAGTTTCATGACTGTAAGTCTCAAATGCTCATTTCAGTAGCAAAACATTTGTAACGAAAAGCAAGTGGATCCCGGAGGAAATACGCCTCTGTGTCATTGCAACCGATTCCCCAAACACCGACAGGTGAGTGCTGATACTAGACATGATTGAACCCAATGACTTCCTACTAATCTGCCTCTGCATTTGTAGGAGTCATGCACACCATCATTTGTCTGCTGGCACTCATCGCGCATGTGTTCGCGGATGGGCCATCACCACAGGAACGTGCTGATCTTATGGAGATGTTCACTAGGGCTCGTGAGGTTGTTACACCAACAGCAAGCAACATGAATCTTCTGGTTAGTACTTGCTCACTATTCGACTAGTAGTTCTTTTGTGCTCTTATTTGAGTGTCACCACACTCATTCATCCTCACTGCTTCTACGCAAACAGCATTCAAACCTAGTCTATTTTGTTCCGCCTTATACTACGCACTCGTCACGGTCGTTAGTTAACCGCTTAAGCAGTGCTCTGAATAAGCCGTCATCGACATCAGCCAGTGCAGCTAAATTGCGATTCGGCTCAGGTTCAAATATACTTAGCAGGCTGCACACCAATAGACCATTATCACCACCTTTTTGTCCCCTTTCAGATGTACTCTGAGGAATTGAAAAAACTAGCCGCGAACTGGGCTTCGCGCTGTATATATGACTATCCTGATACGGAACCAGCATACGAGGACACAGAAATGCATAAAATTGTGTCAGTCGACCGGAAACACACTTTCGATGAGATGGGTCGAATTGTCTTGAAGGAATCCAGCAGGTACGATAATAACAATGACAATGGCTCGTATTTTAAGCTAGTAAGTGATTGCAATCAGTAGTTTTACATCTAAAGATATTTTAAGACAAACATTTGTAGTGATCATGTAAAAATGCATTAAATGAGATCCGAGCGAGCAAGGGAGGATTCTTCTGCTTACAAGCCTAGAAGTCAGAGCGTGGTGATATCTCCAAATTTCGGTCTGATTTTTTCATATTTGCGATTATTTTGTTTTGTTCATTCGAGCAGTATCGACTGCAGTAGGATGTGCACAAGCCAAAGGTCGTAATTTCGGAACTTGGAAGGATGTGTATTTCGTGAATTGTGTTTTCAATAACGCGTAAGTTAAAACTATTTGATCAATGTCTGTCAGCATTATCAAGTCACTCTTTACTGTACTATTTTTAAATTAATTTTGGAACCAATAAAATTGAATTTGTTATAGTTGCAATATCAGTTTGTTGTATTTAAAAAACAATATTATTTTTTAAAAAGTGACCAATATCATGATGGAACACAATATGAACTTGGAGCGATATGCAGCAAGTGCCCTGCGGATTCCAAGTGCCACCGCAATCAGTGCTCCAAAATGCTGCCCTCTACACCCCAGAACCAACTGACACCAACCACTACCATTTCTGCCTCCACTACCATCAACGCAGTTACCACTCTTCAAGCTGCGATGCTTTCAATTTCCTACTGCCTCTAATGTTGCTTTATCCTCTCTGATTCTACTTTCTGCCTAACAACCCGATTGGTTATGATTAAATGTTGAATGCATAAACATATAGCAGCTTTTAAGGCATTACTTGGGTATTACCCGAATATTATGCGACAAGAGACAATATTCAAAATCTATAACACAAATGCTGCTCTTCAGAAGTCACGAAGGTGCTCTGGTGATTTATCTTAATGTGCAGATAGTTTGCTGCTTAAGACATGATGCAACTGTTACTAAGGCTGAATATGGTGTCAGATGAAATGGTTTGGTTCACTTGTACGTGTCTGGAGATTACACACAGACAGTGAAATCTACCAACGTGTAGACTGTGGTCATCCACTAAAACAAACTCCAAAGTAAGGACAAGTTGCTGTAAGAAGAGAGCGGCAAAATTTGTGATTCAGAATCATGCTTGATCAGGAATTGACTGCTGCCTATCATGGTATCGTTACTGCATCGAATTCTACTAAGGCGTTAGTCTCACAGATGTCTGCTCTGGCATCCCTTGTTCGACTTTTACGACTTCTACACCTTGTGCAGCTAAAGCCGACATTTTGGGTTTAAGTATTCGCATTACATTTTCAAAGACACAGGAAGAACTAATTTCAGTGCCTTCTCAACTTTGTATTTTAATTGTGTTATGCATGTCCAAGTAGTCGGGAACCAAACTCTTATTTTTAAAACAACGACTGATGCAAATAAATGCCACCTACAGCAAAACGTTAACGTTGCATTACGTCCGTTTCTGTGACACATGACATCTAGATGCATAGATTGCACCCCAACCAAAACGTCATCTCATCGCTGAACAAACAGTGAGGTATTCCGATGTCATGGTCATTCATGCACTTTACATTAAGCTTGGTATTTAAAGCAGTCTGTTTCACAAGAACCTTAATTGTGTCTAAGTCAAAAACTGAAGTGCGTTGGCGTGATCGTCGATCCAATTAACTACAGAGAAGGTACACTGGTATTTTTCCAGTGCGTTGTTGTGGTAGACAACTCTGGTTGACACCAACTGCCACCAAGACAGCTCGGGAAATTGTACTTGGCTTGTAAGTGCAAAACGGTAAGTTGAAACGCCGCTACTATTGAAATGTCTTTGTATACAAGCCCACCCTCAACTCCCAAATGTAACAAAATTAGCACGATGAATGGAAGTCTTTGTATAATGTTTCATATTGACTTTAAACTGCAGTTGTGCCTAACCATTGATATCTAAACTAGACGAAATTTATACAACTGGAAGTTCTTGCACTAGACCAACATCATTGTCAACCAGAATGGGAGGGCAATACTCGCGGCAACACATTTCTGAAGTAGGGATTTCCTGTTTTTTTGTCAAAACAAATAATGATAATTAGATGGGTTAAACAAGTAAAAAGCGCAGAGCTAAGTAAATATTTTACCTTATGTCCCGGATGGTAGCTCAATCTAGTAAAAAATGCGGACATCTATACAGCCCTCCCCTAAGAGCGTTCACGGGTGTAGTGAGTTAAACATGACCAAGTCCGTGATGATTCTAATGTCACCCACCACACGAAATCGTGCTTACACGCACTGCCAGCTTAGCTTTTGTTTCTATGTTAGATTAAATCACTTAAACTTGTTTCAGATCAGTTAAACCGTACGCAATTAGATATTGGTGTGAGGCAGGCAGGAATATGATATTTGCTATTCCGTCCTAGGATACAATGAATGCATGCGCCTCTCTGTACAGTGATCATTAAAATACTATTTCGCTAATAATCAAGCGTGGGTTGGAATGCTCAACCATATCAAACTCATGTTCACCATATACAAATTGGGCATTCTCACCAAGTGAAACAACCCTGTTTGTCAGAAGAAGACATAAACAAATGTGCAGAAAACTTACACGCTCACACGATTAATTCTACCCGTGCACCCTTGTGCATGATCTCTGCACTACTCCTTCCACTCACCTGGCCTCTCAGCCATTTGTTCGTTTATTAGTTAACGCAAACTGAATTTTTTCTCATTCTCCATTAGTCAGTCCATCTGAAGTGGTTCCAGACTACATGACGGGACCCGCAAGTGATTAAACGCTGCAACCGTGTACACGGGTAGACACTTCAAATTTCAATCACCAACTACAATTTACTGCTTTTGTGATTGGTCAAACACAAACGTGCATTCAATACGGATCATGTGTGTTTTGAAAGGGCCACAGGCTGCATTTCACATTGGCATTTCGCACTTCTCGATTAGCTTTGACACCCAGTTGCAAGGACGACGGAGACTTGTATTGAAGCAGAAGAAGCAGATTGCACTGTCACTTATGCTGAAGCTGTTTAAACACTCACACCGTCTATTGACGCATTGTTTGCTATCCTTCGGGTTAGGCTCGAAATTGCCCATAGTGAGCTTCTAATGTTATCCATAGGCACAAAGTGCTTGTCCCCTGCTATAGGCAATGTAAATTTATGTACCAATTGTCTTGCAAAACGCTGAGTTAGGGTTTATTTGCAGCTATGTCCAATTGGAAGAAGTTGACTTGGAGCTGGCCTCTGCGCACAATCCGCACTTTTCTACATACAACGCTAGCACAGTAGCATTGGTATTACTCTTGAGTTATAATTAAGCATGATAATTTTGCTTGCCAGAATTTCGTGATAACACTGGTCACGTGTGGAAATCAGAAAAATATTGAAAGGTGCTCAGTAATTTGTTTTCTGCAAAATCGAAGAGACCACATTAGAAACCCCACCATCTAACGTCACCAGATGCACTGGAGAACATTCTTCATATGGAGGCCATGTTTCGGCGTCGATGTATAGCTGGCTTGCACCAGACCTACCGATGAACATTTACGTTTGGTTCATCACTGGTCACAATTTACCATAGAAACTCCTTTTTGTTGCGTTCATGCGTTGGCGTAGGTTGTCTTCTATCAGCACATGTAAAACTGCAAACACCCAAGTTTTCGAATTTTTCAATTTGGTACAAATGCGTAAAAGCGGTGATTTTAATCTTGGTGAACAGCTGCGTCGCGCACAATCCCAAAAGAATACCAAAACGGCGGTGCAATTTTTCAAAACATTTCGGTACATTTCGTACTCAAGCACACAGCAATTTCTACGATCAGTGCTCAATGCCATTGTGGAATACAGCCTAAGGCCCTACCCAAATACACCTCGTGAATTTTGAATGAATGCTTGTGGTTGACCGATCACGAATGCAATAAGTTGTAGGAGATGATTTAAATTTGAAATGTCTACACGTGTACGCGGTTGCAGCGTTTGGTCAATTTGGGGGCCCGTCATCTGGTCTGGAACTACTTCAGATGGACGGACTAAAGGAGGTTGAGAAAATATTCAGTTTGTGTTACGTAATAAACGTAGAAATGGCCGAATGGTCAGATGAGTGGAATGGGCAGTGCAGAGATCATGCAAAATTGTGCACAAATAGAAACGATCGTATGGGTGTGAATGGTAGTTATCTGCATATTTGTTTTCGTCTTATTTCGGCAAACAGGGTTGTTTCACGTGGCGCAAATTCTCAATTAGTTTAGGGTAAACATGAATTGGAGACGGTTGAGCAGTCCAACCCACACTTTATTATTCGCAAAAAAACATTTTAATGATCATTGTGCAGAAAAATACATGCATGAATTGTATCCTAGGCAGGAAGAGCGTGGTTTCCTGTTTGAGTGCTCACACCAGTAGGTACTTGCTTAGAATATGTTTTGCTCCAATCGCACCACCACACACATCGGCAATAGAAATTGATCAAATAACATATTGATGATCTCTGTGCAGAAGGGCACAAGCAATAATTGTATCCTAGTCAGGAAGAGCAAAAATCACATTTCCGTGACATTGAGCGTGGTTTCCTCTCTTACTTAAATCACGCTGCCTCACGCGTTGACATCAGAAAATGACCGACATGGATTCGGTTTAAAACACCTAAAATCACATAGCTGTTTGTCACAACAATATCGCGTCACAAAGCTCCGATCTTGAGCACGACTATCAATTATATTTTATAGGGCAAACCTCAATGTTTTGAAAGACTTTATTTTCTATTATTGACTCCTGATTCAGGCACAATTGGTTAAGAATGCAACTTACTCCCTTGTGATTAGGTGGCAAGGCAAAAGGTCCGAATTCTGGTTTCTCATTAGGTAAGTGACCACAGTCTAGACAGAAATAGCACACAGTGTCACATTATGTGGTCTCAAGCAGCATGCCACCATGACACAACTCTCACCACAATCACACCTATTTAATGGATCCTAACTTGTTCTAGATCCATCATTGGTGCCAATCACTTTACTTTTGTTTTAACTAAATTGTATCCGGTTTCACTGATATAATCCAACAAGGAAACAACAGCTGAATTGGTAATGCGTGTAGGCACTGTTTTGATTGGTGGCTGCCCCTCTAAACATCACGGACGTGATCACATTTAACACACCTCTCTCGTGTGCACTCTTAGGGCAGGGCTGAAAATGTGCCCGTATTTTGAACTAGACTGATCCTTCACCCTGGTCTAAGGTCAAGAAGTCTACTGAGCACCTCGCTCTTCACTTGCTAAATCCATTTACTTGTCATTAATTCGTTTTAAAAAAAAATAAAAAATCAATACTTTAGAGATGAATAGTCTCAGGAAAAATCGTGCTGACCCGGTTAGGATTGATTTTGATGGATTGCAACCACGTCCAACTGTTTGAATTTCGTCAATTTTAGAAATCAGAGGTGGGGAATGACTAAAGTTTGAAGTCACCAAAATATCTATTCATCGTGCTAATTGTGTCATATTTGGCAGGTGAGGATGGGCTTGCATACAAAGTCATCTCAATAATAGCAGCATTTCAATTTTCCGCTTGGCACTTACAAGCTGAGCACAAGCTCCCTAGCTGTCTAGGTGACAGTTGGTGTCAACCAACGTTGTCTACCACAACAACGCACGGGAAAATTACAGGCAAATCCACTGTGTGGTGAGTCAAATCGGTAAACACTCCTACG